CTAGCACTTACCTATTCTATTCTATTCCATTCTATAAAAAAAAAACCTAGCTATGTGTACTGTGCTAGACTAACTGAGACTTGTCACAGCACTTGGTATACTGCTGCTCTCTCGTTCGTCTGATTGCTTCTATTGTTCTCTTCATTTGTAAGTAGCTTTGGATAAAAGCGTCTGCTAAATGATTAAATGTAAATGTAATAAACCAGGGCACTACTCACACAAAAGCACTGTGTCCCTCTGGAGTCTGATGGACAGGCATGACATCAGCGTAAGTCTCCTCTAATGATAACAACACATCACTGGCCCACTGACCTCCGTAAGCAAGAGATAGTAAACGGGGGAGATCTCTGTATGCGTCTGTCCCCGCCAGAACATCCACCAACTTCTGCTCAAGTAATTTAGTCTTCAGTATTTCCGCCATGCAACCTACAGAAGGACACATGTGCATCAGAGCTTGACAAGAAGGATGACCAGCTGATGGAACTGTAACTTGCCCAATCAGAGCAGGAATTACATTTCTGCCAACAATTCAGTTTATGCACAACTATTCCTTTAATGACAATTTGACGCATGTCTATTTAATTATGTATTCATTTAATTATTTCATTAGGCCAATTTAACCTTCCATGCACTTCAGATGTGGCTTCTGTGCCTCCTTTGTGTAAATGGCAGGAGGAGATTTGTAATATTATGAATATCTTTGCTTTACATTACATCACACCTAATACAAAATATGTTGCTAAAAAGTAAATTAATTTTTTTTCCAGACAACATATCGGCCGGGCAAAAATCTGCACTGCTCCTTTCTGTTGAGCCTGTGTGCATGCACATTAACACTTTTCTCTCAGGCCGAAGAAAGTAAAGAGGAACCGTCATAATAGTTACCTAGGACACCTATTTTTAATGAAGCCTTGTGTTATTCACACCTCTTCTTTAAGGCAGTGAGATGTTTGAGTCAGTTCCAGATCGTTTGCTCTGCCTCTTCTCTTTCAAACGAGAAAACCCATTAAACCCTAAATCTGAAAGCAAATTGCATTAAGTATACTTATTCTTTCATGCTTTAAAAAAAGAAGTCTTTCTTACCTTATGGTGCAAGTGACAAGCAGTACTACAACTGCCTACAGAAGTATATCTGACAAGCAATATTAAAGCATTCATACAATGAAAGAACATTAAACATATTCTGCTATCTGCTATATGTTTCAATAATGAGTTTTTGTTGGGTAAATTTTGCAGTACCTCTGGCAGCTCATGTGTCCATGAATATCGTGCTTTCTGAAGAATGGACCAAGCTATTTCAGTGTCACTGACATTCATCTGACAGCCGTATGTCTCAAAATACACTGAAAGACATTTCACTTGTCAACATCATGTGGCATAAATACTTTACACCAAGAAAGAATTTAGACTTCAAAATCAGTGTAATGTGGCAAAATTAGAATAATTGGGTGGGTTTTTGTTAATAATTGGTGAGTTTTTGTTAAATGTGAGCCAAAATCATCACAATTAAAAGAACCAAAGACTTAAACTACTTCAGTCTGTGTGCATTGAATTTATTTAATACACAAGTTTCACAATTTGAGTTGAATTACTGAAATAAATGAACTTTTCCACGACATTCTAATTTATTGAGATGCACCTGTACAATAACTTTTAAGAAGCTGTACTTGAATAATAATAATAATGCTTTAATATAACAAATAGTTTATTAAGGTGATAGATATAGCCCAAAACAACGAATAAATGATGAATTTTTATTGCTGTAGTCTAATGATTATTTAGTTATTATTACTGTTGTAACAAATCAAAAATGAGACCGTAACTAAAAATGTTTTGCATAGTTTATCAGACACTAGTAAAATATCTGTCGATCTCCAAAAAAAAAAAAGGCCCTGACCTTTCTGTGAACGTGCTGTTGTGCATTGAGGAATGTGGTACTCCTCATATTCATCATTGCAAGCATCATAGGTCCTGTATGGAAGCCCATTTCCGCCAGGTAAGAAAAAAAAAATCATGCTTTAAAAAGTCGCACACATATATATATATATATATATACACACACACACACACACACATATATAAGGAAGCCTCTTCTAAAGATGATGCACAAGAAAGCCCGCAAACAGTTTGCTGAAGACAAGCAGACTAAGGACATGGATTACTGGAACCATGTCCTGTGGTCTGATGAGACCAAGATAAACTTATTTGGTTCAGATGGTGTCAAGCGTGTGTGGCGGCAACCAGGTGAGGAGTACAAAGACAAGTGTGTCTTGCCTACAGTCAAGCATGGTGGTGGGAGTGTTATGGTCTGGGGCTGCATGAGTGCTGCCGGCACTGGGGAGCTACAGTTCATTGAGGGAACCATGAATGCCAACATGTACTGTGGCATACTGAAGCAGAGCATAATCCCCTCCCTTCGGAGACTGTGCCGCAGGGCAGTATTCCAACATGATAACGACCCCAAACACACCTCCAAGACGACCACTGCCTTGCTAAAGAAGCTGAGGGTAAAGGTGATGGATTGGCTAAGCATGGGCATCCTCAAACGGAAGGTGGAGGAGCGCAAGGTGTCTAACATCCACCAGCTCCGTGATGTCGTCATGAGTGGAAGAGGACTCCAGTGGCAACCTGTGAAGCTTTGGTGAACTCCATGCCCAAGAGGGTTAAGGCAATGCTGGAAAATGCATATAATGGTGGCCACACAAAATATTGATACTTTGGGCCCAATTTGGACATTTTCACTTAGGGGTGTACTCACTTTTGTGGCCAGCGGTTTAGACATTAATGGCTGTGTGTTGAGTTATTTTGAGGGGACAGCAAATTTACACTGTTATACAAGCTGTACACTCCCTACTTTACATTGTAGCAAAGTGTCATTTCTTCAGTGTTGTCACATGAAAAGATATAATAAAATATTTACAAAAATATGAGGGGTGTACTCACTTCTGTGAGATACTGTATATACATATATATATATAAAACAGTGTTTATGTTTTTGTGATGTTTGAGAATGTACATAGTCAGTGAATACCAGGTTATTGTCATAAGCATAAGACCCATCCAAAAGGTAAGGTGTTGACACAATTCACCACATGGTGTCACTCAGAAGTCAAGTAAAACTCATTTAAGGTGATTGAGCTAATGTGACATTGTCAGATAAATCTCTGCTTTTCTATGAAAAAAAATCATAATTGTTGGAGATTTTAACTTTTGCATACTGTAGATTATGAAAAAATTTTGGTCAGTCAAAATATCACTCTAACCCCTCGTTGCCATAATCATATACTAGTTTTAATTCCTTCAGACAGAGTTGGCAATACAGCTATTCAGCCACAGAGTAATGATATTTCAGATGACTACATGCTACTAAGATAGTAATTTAGAAACTGAAGTGCAAAAGGAATAATAAATAAATAAAATCAATTTAGAAGTGCATGGAAATGTTTCTAGCTACGGACAGCCTGAAAGCTGCTATGTCTGCATATTTATGGAACATAGCCAAAACAATCTTATGAAATCAAAGTTTTTATTCAGTATAGTGGCAAGACTGACATGAAGAAACAGATATTTCTTCAAAGCATAGCAGTGATGCAATTTATGAATTTTTACTGAGAAAATGTAGAACTTTGGAAAGAAAACTGAAAATTTACAACCAGCTGGTAAAGTCTTTTCCCAGTTGGCTCCTAAAATTTTAAATAGCATTACTGGCAATGTTTGGGACACACTCTCAATTGTGAAAATGTTTAAAGACTTATCCCTTTAGTCACTCTGTGCATTTCGTTTTCAGTCTACTGGAATCAAAACAAATGATCACAGGTTTGAACTCTTTTTGACTCTACAGAAGCTATATCAGCTATAGCAAGAGAAATCCATATCCAAAAACTACAGAAGCAAGAAAACCAGACAACATGACAAGACACGGAAACACTTGATTCTGTGTGGAAAGCTCTGAGCCCTCTGAGTGAGTTCACTGATGCCCTGTCTGGACAAGTCTATCTTACCTGAAGCATGTGCTTCATCTTTGTCACCACAGGATGAAGACCTAACTTACAAAAGATACTAAACAGAAAATTATTACCAGCCACACAAGACCATGCTGTACATGACATTCATAGACTAAATACATACTATATACTACAAGTATGAAAAATGTATTGACTGATTCTTAACATTTCTTTTGTCTTTTTTGTTTTTTTAATTTGTAGCACTTTGGGATTCTGTTTGAATATAAATCACATTATAAATACAATTTATTATTATTATTTGTATTATTATTTACTGTATAATGACAAGCAGATGTTGTATAAAGTACTTTTTTATTTGGAGCCAAACATGGTCACTATATACTTGCATGGAAAGGTGTTTCATGAAGATTCATTCTTAAATTCTCCTTTGTCTTTCAGGGGGAAAAAAAAAAGCATACATTGGAACAAATGCGGTCGAGTAAAGAAATCACATGACTAATTA